AATAAAATCTTAAAAAAAAAAAAAGAACAAAATTACTTTTGCTGTCCCAGTTAAATTTCTTTGGAAATATGTACACTAAATAATGTTACATGCAAAAGGCGAACCTACGCCTGTAGTGTATAATATAATAATAGCTTATATTTGTTGAGTGCACATGTCATGAATGGTGTTAAGGGCTTTACATGTATTAGCTCATTTAATCCTCACGACAACCCTTTGAGGTGAGCATTGAAGGGGAGCAGAATAGGCCATCCCAAAATATGCCTCTTTAGCACAAGGATTTCGAGCTAATTATTTTGAGAAATGGCAGACATGGGAGAAGCTCTGAAAACCAGAGAAGTTACCCTTTTGTGACAGAAATTTACATTTATAAGGGAACCCTCCATTTGTAGGAGCGTCTCCCTCCATGTACCTGGAAAAGAAGGATGACTCTGAATCACAAGAGAATCTTTTTTTTTTTTCTTAAGGTATATTTATTTATTTTAGAGAGAAAGAGAGAGAGCGTGCGCGCGCATGTGGGAGGGGGAGGGGCAGAGGGAGGTGCAGAGAGAGTCTCAAGCAGACTCCACACCCAGTGTGGAGCCCGACACAGGGCTCAATCTCACGACCCTGAGATCACTACCTGAGCTGAAACCAAGAGTCAACCTCACTACACCACCCAGGCACCCCTTGAATCACAGGAGAATCTTATCAATGGAGAAAGCTCACTTAAATCTGCGAACAACCTTGTTTGCATTTCCTGGTCACCCCCCCAAAATTGGCCTCCCTCCACACCTTTTTTTCTATTGTCTTTAGCTGGAAATGGTATTTAAGGTGGGGGCTTAGGACACTTCAAAGAGTTCCTCATAGCCCAGCCCCATCTCCCATGTATACAGGAGGTATGCGTGTAATAAACTTCTGTTTATTTTTCCTCTTGTTAATCTGTTCTTTATTTATAGGGAGGTCTCAGCCAAGAACTCAGAAGATTCAAGAAGAATTATCTCCCTTCCTCCCCCCACTTCCTAACAGCATCATTATTATTCCCCCTTTAAAGATAATAAAATTGAGGTCCAGGGAGGTTAAGTAAAATGCCCAAATTGTTACAGATTTGAACCCAGGTCAGTCTGACTTCAGAGCCTGTGGTTTAATCACTGCACAACCGTCTTTCGTTAACAATGACTGAAATAATTTTTTACTAAAATATATCATGAAAAACTATTATATAATATACAGTATTATATATTACATGATATATATTACATATTTTAATATTTTCCTGGCATAAATAATTATATATATCATATATTGTATATGATAACGAAAGGTCCATGGAGGGACATCTATCTCAAATTTACAAGGGTTAAAAAGGGGACCGTAACTGTCTATGAGACAATGCCTGATGTGTTCTAGTACTGTCACGTAAAAAAAATGTGCTGTAAGAGCACAAAGAAGGAGTCTGAGAAGTCTGAGGAGAATTAAGGAAGGCTTCACAAAGTAGGTGACATTTGAGCTATGCCTTGTGAGATGAATAAAATTTACCAGACAAAGCACAATTGTGGAAAGGGAGAGTCTACCAGTGAGCAGAGGAGAAACCTAAGTCATCACAGGGGAAAAAAACCAAAACCCATAATCAGGTGCTGCATTTAAAAATCTCTCTCAGGGGGCGCCTGGGTGGCTCAGTCGTTAAGCATCTGCCTTTGGCTCAGGTCATGATCCCGAGGTCCTGGGATCGAGCCCCGCATCGGGCTCCCTGCTCCGCGGGGAAGCCTGCTTCTCCCTCTCCCACTCCCCCTGCTTGTGTTCCTCCTCTTGCCTTATCTCTCTCTGTCAAATAAATAAAAGCTTAAAAAAAAAAACAAACGCCAAATTGTTTTCCATGTTTTCAAAAGTGGCTGTACCATTTCACATTCCCATCAGCAATGTATGAAAGTTCGAGTTCCTCCACATCTCCATCAACACTTGATATGATCTGTCTTTTTTAATTTTAGCCACCGTAATAGAAATATGGTGCTGTCTCATTGTGGTTTTAATTTCTAGTTCCCTAATGACATTGAGTATGTTTTCATGGGCTTATTAGCCATTCATTTATCTTATTTCATTATTCAAAATATTAATTCAAATAAGCCCATTTTTAAAAAATTGAGTTATGGGATGCCTGGCTGGCTCAGTAGATAAAGCACGCAACTCTTAATTTCAGGTTTGGGAGTTTAAGTCCCACACTGGTCATAGGGCCTACTTAGATAGATAGATAGATAGATAGATAGATAGATAGATAGATAGATAAAAGAAAAAATTGAATTGTCTTATTTTTTTTAAAGATTTTATTTATTTATTTACTTATTTGAGAGAGAGACAGAGAGAGAGCATGGGGGTAGGGGCAGAGTGAGAGGGAGAAGCAGATTCCCTGCTGAGCACGGAACCCGACAAAGCAGGGCTCAATCCCAGGACTCTGAGATCATGACCTGAGCCAAAGTCAGATGCTTAACCGACTGAGCCACCCAGGTGCCCGTGAATTATCTTATTATTGAATTATAAGTTATTTATATATTTTGGATACACGTCCTTTGTCAGATATAGAATTTGTAAATGTTTTCTCCTAGTTAATGGCTTGTCTTTTCATTTCCTAATGGTGTTTTTGAAAAGCAAATGATTTTAATTTTGATGAGGGCCAATTTATCACTTTTATTTTTCTTTTATGGATTGTGCTTTGTTAATTTTTGTATATGGTATGAGGTAAGGGTCTAAAGTTGTTGTTGTTGTTGTTGTTGTTATTTTGCAAGTAGATAACCAGTTGTCCCAGCACCATTTGTTGGAAAGGATATCTTTTCCTCATTGAATTTCCTTGGCACCTTTGTGAAAAATCAATTGACCATAAATGTGTGAGTTTATCTGGACTTTGTTCTGTTCCACTGACCTATGTGTCTATCCTATATCTGTTCCACATGGCCTTGATTACTGTAGCTCTGTATTACATTTTGAAATCAAGTAGTGTGTGGCCTCCAACTTGGTTCTTTTTCAAAATTTTGGCTGTCCTGGGTCCTTTGTATTTCCATATACATTTTAGGATCAGCTTATTAATTTCTATAAAAATAAGCATCCTATAATTTTGATAAAGTTTGGGTTGAATCTACAGATCAATTTTGGGGAGATCTTCAAATCCTCAAAAATTATTTACTGAGTACACATCAGCAAAGATGGGCAATTGAGATCATGAGAAAAGGAAAGTAACTGGAAGAAGGACAATCTTCACTGGGAAGTCCCTGGGTGAAGTGAGATAGAAGACTCCATGACAGGCCACATTCTTCTTCCCACGAGCAAATTTTGGAAAGGGGGGATGGTGGCCCCAAAGGAAATGAGTCAGCAGCGGCAATCAACTTGAAACCAAGGTTTTCAGACCTTCCTGGAACAAAAGCCTTTGTTCTAAGATTTCACTTGGTATTCCCTGAGAACATTATAAGGGCTCTGCCTTAGAGAAATAAATAATACCCTGGTTCCCTACCACAGGAGGTTGATCATTGACCCTATAGTTACCGTAGCATGGTCAAAGTGAGGCTCATAGTGACCGCCAATTCCATAATTCACCACCTGGAGATACTCTGCGTAGGGAGGCTGGACATCAAGGCCTGTGAGGGCACCAATGCGATGGTCAAGGGTCACCAGCAGGGGATCGACGGTGTCCTTCAGCCAGGCACTAAAACACACCACAGGTTGTAGCATCAATGATCTGATGCCAGAAATGACTATGTCTGTGAATGAATGAGTTATATCAACTGCCGGAAGGAAGGAAGGAAGGAAGGAAGGAAGGCTGGCTGGCTGAAGAAACAGTATAAACACAGACATGGAGTTATAACAATATACAGTCTATGTAAGTGTGGGAGCATTTGGTCTATGAAAGAAGTAATGGGAGACAAGGCTGGAAAAGTATGTTCAGGAGCTGTTGTAAAAAGCTGAGGACACCATGGTCATAAAACTGGTCTTTGTGGGTGGTAGATAGTCAGTGAAGGTTCATGGACAGGAAAGTGATTTGGTGACCAGGAGTTCACTGATGACCTTTGAAGGATCAGTTCCAGTGAAGTTGTGAGGACAGAACCAAAATTCAAAGGGATACAGAGTGATGGTAGGGAAAGAAGAGGAGGCAGCGAGGGTGTCAACTTCTTCACCTGAAAAGTAAAGAGAATACCACCTACTCCCTTAAAAGCAATGAATCTAAGTAGAAGGTCAGATTTTTCTCTTTGACACTACAATGTCAGAAAGGTTAGAAAAGCAATAAAGTGAGGCCATATGGACCTTCCAAAGTTTAGAGAATAACTACTAGTATGAAAGGTCCCTAAATGTACCAGACCAAAGAAGTTAAGGTTAAGCCAAATGATTCTGAATCAAAGCTTTCATTATTCACCTCACTTCCCAGACAACAAAACTATCCACTCAGCCTGAGGTCTGGCCTCTCCCTAAAGATGCTGTTGTCACTGCCTCCCATGGCTCTGATGGGGACTCATTCTCTTACTCATCATAAATCCTGTCTTTACAATACAAATCAAGGACTGCAAGGGGGTGGGGGCAGGAGTTGAGGGGAGAGGATAAAGCTGGGCTTTCACAGCTGAATCTGCCTCTCTAAAAGCCAGGTCCACAGATTCTGGCCACCCTTCTTGCCTGAATGTTGGCACGTCATGCTTCGAATATGAGTCAGGAGGCAGGAATGGAACCTTATAAAGTCAAATTCCAAATGGGAACAGAACTGAATTCTCCGGAGAAGCAATCCTGGCTAGGAGAACATCTCCACACCTAATTTCTGGTTCCTGGCCTAAAAGCTTTGTTAAGTCTCTCCCTAAGGGCCTCCTAGTTAAGTCCTCAGACCCTATAACAACCTCTGAAAGGGCCTTGGGTGAGGGGAGTGGAAATTTCTCCCTCTCAACAAGCATGTACAGGTAGAAACATGAACTATGGATTCTCTAGCAGCATCTCTGGATGGCTGTTGCTGACCTTCAGTCAGCTGTGCCACAGGCCCAAGGGCAGGCAGCAAGTATGACCAGAGTCCCTGCCAAGGAAGGACGCCTCTTACCTTTTGCTGATTCGGTACTCCACTGGCAACTGCTTCTCCCCTGATGCCACCACAGACCTCTGTAGCTGATGTGGAGGACGTAAGAGAAAGTGGGCATCAAGGACGATGTGAAGGGAAGGACTCGGCCATTTCCATAGACATGCCCCCCTCTTCAAAGTAAACCTAACAATCGCCAGTTCCTCCCTAATTTCAAGTATTTTGCACATGCTACGAATTTAGTGATAGCTATCGATCTCAAAAACAAAAGATAATAAGTGACCAAAAAATCTGAGCCGAAAATAACCTTTAGCGGCATGTCTGGTAGACAGTAAGCACTCAAAAAAAGCTTGCTGAACTGAAATAAAGTGATATTTGAATCCCTTTTGCATCTGAGACTGTGAGTTCTGTCAGAACAGGGGCTGTTTCTCACTCAGCTTTGTATCCTCGTGGCACAGGGCCTGGCCTACGGTAAGCACTTAGTGTTTGTCATATTAAATGAACACCTCCAACGAGGAAACTCTCCACCCTCAGAGGTAGCCCGCTCCCCTGAACAATTCCGACAAAGCCCTTCCTTATTAAGAATCAAAATCTGGGGGCGCCTGGGTGGCTCAGTTGGTTAAGTGGCTGCCTTGGGCTCAGGTCATGGTCCCAGGGTCCTGGGATCGAGACCCACTTCGGGCTCCCTGCTCCGTGGGAAGCCCGCTTCTCCCTCTCCCACTCCCCCTGCTTGTGTGCCTTCTCTCACTGTCTCTCTCTCTCTGTCAAATAAATAAATAAAATCTTTAAAAAAAAAAAAAAGAATCAAAATCTGTTTTGCTGCAACTGCCTTCATTATGTGGGGAAAAAATCCCAAACAGGTTCAATGTCACTAATTTAACTAAATGTTTCTATTTTGTTCTGAATGTCTAGATATGAATTTTAAATTCTTTTTAAATAAAGTGGTTTCTAACTGCAAAAGCACTGTACCAGGGACAGAAAGAGATTTACATAAGGATGTGTCTACTTCTGCATCTGTCATCAGAATGTCAACTCCATGAGGGCAAGTCTTTTGTCGGTGTCCCTAGAGTCCAGAGAAGGCCTGGAAGGGAGTAGGTGCGCAATATTGGTGAAAGGAACAAATGAATGAATGAATGAACCAGAGTCCTGTGCTTAATGACCCAGCCCTGGCACTTCACACGCAGTCAGAGCAGAGCAATGAACTGCACAAGACACACACCCTTTCCCTTCTTGGAGGCTTCTGTAATATTATTATTCCTGCTGCTAAACCAGGAAGACAACTTTGGAAAAGTCTCTTTGTTTCCTTGAACCCGTTTCCTCAGCTATAAAATGCAGTATGTGAACAACGCCTTCTTGGCGTTCCTTCCAGCCTATCCTTCTATGATATCAGGATGCAGGGCATCAGTGGGTGACTGATAATGCCTCTGTCTAGTCCTTCACCCAGCATCCTTCCCTGGGCTCCTTGTGTAGGAGAGAGGAGAGATTCTTAGAGGAGTTGCTGCCTTATGTTCTTCTAGGGTAACATCAGTGGTTTAAAGAAAAATCCTAGGGAATCTCCATTCCATCCCTGTCCCCATTAAGGAGCCACCTTGCACTTAATTCCTTTAACAATTATTTATTGTACACCAGCAAGTCATTCACTTTTGGGGACAAATATTTATTGGTTGTTCTCTGTGCTGAGTACCACGCTAGGCATTGGAAATACAGAATATGGAGCAGACGTAAGTCATGCAACGGGGCCATAATGGACAAGTACAGGGCACTAAGAGAATATTACAAAGGAGCATCTAGTCCCTTATGAGGGACAGGAAGTCTTCCCAGGATACCCAAATGACAACTGGAATCATACAGGTGAAAAGAGACCAAGGGGAGAGTGACTTAGAGAGAAGAGTATGTGCGCAGGGGTTAGGGGGAGCGTGGCCCGTTCATGGCGATGCAAGTTGTTTAGTGTGGCTGGGGCGTCGAGCGCAAGGGGCACATGCTGTGGCGGGGTCAGCAGCAGCAGGCCAAGGAGCTTTATAACATTCAAGTGACCCATTCAAGAGTTTAAAGCAAGGGCTTGGCGTGGTCAGATGCAACCTTTTAAAAAGTAGTCTGGCTGCAATGGGCATAATGCAGGGCTAGGCATTTCAAGGACGGCCTATGATCCCTCCTAGATTATAGTCTAGTTGAGGAGACAGGATGATAACCCCCGAAACAACTAGTGATACTAGACAGCACAAAAATGGCAGAATAAATGAAAAAAAAAATCAAATATAGACAACTGATGACAAAAGCTTTGAGTTCAAAAAAGAGAGAGGTTCTTGTACGTGGCCCCAAAAAGTGCTCTGAAGAAAATGTTCCTACTGAAAGTACCCACGAAAGTGGAGAGTGACAGGGCTAGTGGGCAAAGGGAGGCATGAGGCTTCCACAGAGTCTTCACGAATGGGTAGGATGTGGATGGAAGGACAAGTGACAAGAGAGCAGTGTTTGGGATGGGACACAGATGAAGTAAATTCAAGGCTCAGGAGAGGCTTCAGTGGCTTGGGTTGAATTTAGTTTCCATGTGGCAGACCCACCCTATAAGCCGAGGCTTATTCCCGGCAGAGCCGAAGACCACACAGGGATCGGCGCCTCCACATCAGCCTCTGGGAAGAGGGAGAGTGGCGAAGTCTTTGCCTGCCAAATAGCCGACCTGGCCAGGCCGGACTGCTGGGAGGGCTGCCTGTCCTGCTACCGCGACAGTCCAGTCGTTCTTTTTTTTTTTTTTTTTTAAGATTTTTTATTTATTTATTTGAGAGAGAGAGAATGAGAGAGAGCACATGAGAAGGGGGAGGGTCAGACAGAGAAGCAGACTCCCTGCCGAGCAGGGAGCCCAATGCGGGACTCGATCCAGGGGCTCCAGGATCATGACCTGAGCCAAAGGCAGTCGCCCAACCAACTGAGCCACCCAGGCGCCAGCCCAGTCGTTCTAAGGAAGAAGCACCTGCTGGCCAGATGCTGCCGCTGGCTCACTGAGATGCCGAAGCTATTGAAGATACTTTGTTCCAACTGACCGGCGGAGCTTAATGCTCTCAAACACTGCACAAAGATTCCAGACTTCCCTGGAGGGGCTCCTGGATGAGATGACTCTTGCTACTCTTATCCCTCCGATCCATGTCTGCTAGTCAAAATCTTCCTTAAAATCAACAGGCCTGATCATGCCAATCTGCTGTTTAAACTGTCCAAGAGCTCCCCCCACCCCCACCCCACCCCAGCCCCAGCCTCTGGGATCAAACCCAAGCTCCCCAGCATTATACCTACGGCACTTCCTGATGGTATCTCACCGTCTGGCCTCATCTCGGATCACCTCCTAGCCCATCCCTCGCACGCTTGCGCCAGCAAGCTCCACCCCACTCTCTGAACACACCGCCTGTGGGGTCCTTGCACGTATTGTTCCGTCTTCCTGCCATACCCTTGGCCACCTTGTTACTCGATGAATTTCACATCCGCAGGGACGCCTCCTCTGTTTTCCCGTCCTCTCTTTACCCATCTGCCTTTCCCTCACAGGAAGGCTCACTTTTGGAGGCCGCCGTAGCACGGTGCCCTGCACAGTGTCGTGTACATACCCGTTTCCCCCGTTATGCTGTGAGCTCCTAAAGGGAAAGGGCCAATGCTAAATCTCTGCGAATGTCCCACCCCCGGTGCAGCGTCTGGCACACAGCAGGCTCGGTTCCGTTGACAGGGGGCCAAACGACCACCTGGATGAACAGGGCACCATCGAGGGCACGCACGATGACATCAGGAATTCTGAGACAGCCATTTAAAGAGGCAGCATGCTTATAACGATGAGGTAGTCTGTGTTATTTTTCTAAATAGTTGCCACCCTTCCAGGGGGAGGATTAAATGTCCTCTCCCCCTTGACATCAAGGTCAGCGCCACGGCTGGGAGAGCCCTCCCTGCAGGAGCATTAGACACACTCTCCCTGTTGACTGCGGTGGTGGCCCCATGCTTTGCCTCAACCGATGAAACAGGGGCAGAAGCAGGAGCTTTAGGAGCCACCTAGCAGTTGGTCATCTCTGTCTTTTCTGTCTCCTCTGAGGCTGGAGGTGTCCCAGACGTAGGTGGCTCTGTCAGGCTGGGTCTCCAAGTGAAGACAGTTCTGCCCCCCAGCTGCAGCCAGCCAAGACAGGCACGTAGTGTAAGTAAGAAACAAACCTTTGTTGTTGTTGTGTCTGAGACTCGGGGGCTGTTTGTTACTGACCATAATCTAGCCTCCGTTAGCTGCCATGAGAAGGCAGAGGAACAGAACAGCCATCGAAGGACCGCTGAGTTCCAGGTCTGGCTACAGCTACGCGCCTGCCCTTCATCAAGTCCCTTCCCCTCTCTGGGCCTCTGTTTCCTCTTTAACAAAATAATCTAGCTAAACTAGATAATCTTTCCACTCGGTAATCCTGTAAATCTGCACTAGGATATCACTCCTGGTCCATCATTTCACTCTTTAAAAAAAAAAAATTCTACTCATTATGTGGAATGACTGACATTGGGGAGGAGGGGGTCCTTTTGATTTTTTTAGGTTAAATTTACATATAATGATATGCACAGATCTCAAGTGTATGATTTGCTAAATTTTCACAAATGCACACAGCTGTGTACTCCACGTCCCTAAAACAAGATATTGAGAGCACATTTTCAACACCCCAGCAAATGCCCTTGTTCCCTTCCCCAGCCAATCCCCTCCCTCCAAAAGCAATGACTACTGTGATTTTTTTTTTTTTTTACCATTGATTCGTTTCATGGAATGGTTGGCATTTTGAATTCCTGGATTGATAACGTGTACAGTTGTTCAGGCTGCCTGTTCTCACATTCCTGAACCCCAGGCATGTGATGACACAAAGAGAAGTTTTGGCAGGCTTTGGGGACACTCACCCACGGTTCTGCAAGCCCTCTAATTTTCTGAGCCTCCACGTCACTGACAAAGTCATGGTAGAGAACAACATAGGGCTCCAGGTGGATGACCTCCTTCCGGACGGGCTGGAGCTGCAGGTAGGGGCTCGAATTTGTCTCATACGAACAGTAGAGGCTAGGGATCTGGTAGTGAGTAGGCTGGAAAAAAAGCCTAGAATCAGCATGAGAGATGAAGGGTCTAGGAGAAGCCAGTGTAGAGAACTACGACATAAAAAAACTGGCATGCGGGAGATTGAGAATGTGGTCAGTCTGATGCTGTCCAAATGAGCTTTATGTTTCTAACGCATCAGCCTTTTCCCCTCACGTCGTTCCAATGCAACCTTCTCTTTCTCTAGCTACGCCTGTTCCCCCTTTCTCTTTCCCTGAGGAATCCTACCTGGGATCCTAGGGTCTGACACAACCCCTCATAGGTGTCTCTGGTCTGCAGGTGGGGTACGTTGGGCCTCTGGATGACAGCCTCAGCTACCACCTGGTTGGGGCTCTCTGCCAAAAGCTTTTCGTATTTCAACACATTCCTGGCCATCCTCTTATTATCTGGGCCTGGAAGAAATCAGAGCAGGGAATAATACAGATGAACAAACAATGGTCTCCGTTTTCTCAAGTTTTCCTATAGCTTCCCGGTCACACACGACCAGCCACTGGACACCATGAAAAGCTGCCATGTCCATGCACAGGAGGACGGTAAGGCCCTCACTCCCAGAAGAGTACCTGGTATTAAAAAAGACTGAGTTAGGCCCAGTAGATCTGAGGGTGCAAAGGACTTTGGGAAGGAAAGTGGTACTGAACACTGTTAGACCAAGGGATCATAAGGATGGCAGCTCTAGGATACCGTGATGGTAAGTTTCATGTATCGGGAAGAAGCTTCACTCC